ATATAAATATAAAATGAAAAAAAAAAAATTTTTTTTATAAAATTTAAAAAAAAATAATATAATAAAAAAAAATAAAAGAAAATAATTAAAAAAATATCAAAAAAAAAAAAATCAAAAAAAAATGAAATTCAATATATTAATGCTTTTAGATTCTTTCTTATTAAATTTCAAAATTATTAATAATTTAATTTATTCAATATATATTCTGTTTTAAATATTATTAAATAAATTAATACAAAAAATTAAAAATATTATTTTATTTAAATTTTATAATACTACTTTGATATTAGAATTAAAAAAAAAAAATATATAAAGAATGGATTAAAAAAAAAACAACAAAAAATATAAAGAAAAATATAAAATAATACTAATTTTATTTTATTAAAAGAATTAAAAGAAATTACAAAAATTCAAATTTATTTTTTAAAACTAAAGAAAAATATAGTTTTTTATAATATTTTAATTAATTGTAAGTTATTTTTAATTTAATAATTTATATATAATTTATTTATTTATATAAAGAATTAATTAAAAAATTATTTAAATAATTATCAAAAATAATTTTTTATCTATAAAAAAAAATAAAATTATTTAAATATTGTTATATTAATAACAAAAAATATTTCTCTGGTTTTTTTACAAATGGTTATTTAAAATTGTAAAAAAGCTTGTAAATTAAAATTTTAAGTTATAATACTTTAAATTTGTTATATTATTCAAAATCATATAAATGTTTTGAGAATTTTTGAAGAAAATAACAAAATATTATATAAATAGTATATGTAAAAATAAAATAAAATAAAAACAATAATATATAATAAAATTTATTTAAATTAATAAAAATTTTAAAATTTTTAATAATAGTATATATTTATAAAAATAATTTATTAAAAGTTATATATACTTAAAATTGAACTTGATTTTATATTTAGAAAAAAAAACATGTTTATAAAGTTCTTTTTTTATATATAAAAATAAATAAACAAAAAACATATATTGAAAATATAATTTTTAAACTACATTATATAAAAAATTTAGGTTTATTATAAAATATATTTTAAAGTATTATCTAGTTAAATAAGTAAATATTATATTTTTTAAATTTTTATATTATATAAAATTAAAAATCAAAAAAATATTGCATATCAATTTTAAGTTGATATGTTTATTTTTAAAATTCAATATTTATAAATAAATAAATATTTTTTTCAACCATACGAATTTTTATTCAATTACTATATTTTTTTAATAATTAAATCTTATTTATTTATTTATTTATTAATATTCATATTAATATATTACAGTTAAGATTATTTTTTTCTAATTAAATATATTGTATATTATTTTTTTTTATTAGTTCAATTAATTTTAAAATAAATTAAATGTATATAATATTTATTATAAATAATATAACAAGTTTATTTTTTTATATTCAATTCAATTTTAAAGTAATTATATACGTATAATTGATTCAAAAAAATAATAAAACACGATATTGAATTTTTTTAAATAGAGGATTTTTTATTAATATTCAATCAATAAATTAAATTTTTTAAAAAAATATATTAAATTCAATAATGCAAATTATTTGTAATGATTCGATTATAAACTATTCGGCATTTAGAAATTTTTTTTTATTTATTTACATAATGATTATAATAATTTACAGTTGATTTTTTTTATTATAACGATTTAATATAATAATTTAACAAAATAATTAGTAATTTTTATGATTACGTATTATAAAATTATATGGTCTCACAGGTGATTTGTCATGTGTCGTGTTGGTAATAAATGAAATTCTTATTGTGTAAGTAACTTAATGTTGAAATTTTTATTCAGAAGGATTGCGTTGCTAACAATACATTATTTAAAAATTCGGATATGCAAAATCAGGTTTATTTTTGCTTACCCCTTTGTGCCGCGATCAATCCCCCTACAACAATACATTTATTTATTACTTTTAAAAAATATCACGCGGAACAATACACGTTACTCCAATTTGCATAATACGGTAATTTTTTTTTTCATTTGCGATCGAACACACGACAAACATTTGGCTTGAACATTAAAGGCAACTACCTGCGACTAATTGTGCGTACCATAATCTTGTATTTACAGGCGTATTGTAAATTAATCTCATAATACACGTCAAGATTTTGTGCACGATGATACGAAAGTTCCAAGTAATGTCAACCAAGACAATACATATTTTAACATATAAGAAGCTTGATCCAATTCCGGAAAGTTTTCATTCGCATTTCAAATACCTGATAAAAATATCTCAACACAAAAGAAATACCTCATTTTCAACAAACAGATGTATCAAATTGAAAAGTTTTCACGAGATTTCCTTGAACTCGACAGTATTAACGAGCGATATGACCAGTTTGTGAACAATGATACTGAAATTATAGATGATCCAAATTCCCTTGATAAAAGCATATTATTTCATCCAGTTGATGGTATCAATTCTTGCCCATCTACCACCTTCCACTCGGAACTTTTCATACCGAATAACATCCACCCTGTAAATCCATTCTATTCCATCTTAACACGTCTTCTTGACCTTAGAGATAATATATTTTTTCTAGACAAGAATGATTTGCTTTCACGTATATCCGAATTAATGGATGAAGTAAATAATCTAAGCAACGTTGAGAACGCACCGGATTCAAACATTCAATTCCTTATTGCTACTCTCGCCTATCAAATATCCGAGATATGTAATAAACAGGTTGAATCCATTAATTTATTATCAGAGATCAACACCGAAGCAACCAAAAAATTGACGGACGCATATCATGATGGCCTTGCCTCAAATATACAAACTCAGTGCTCCGTTAATCCTTTGGTAGTCGATGACGCAGAAAACGTTCACAAAACCCCGACACGCAACCAGATAGACCCTTTCGCTACAATGTGGTGCATAAAATATTTGATTGATAACAAGCTTCAGAAACCCAACAAGCAACAAAGGTATTTACTATCACTCTGGACAAACGTTCCAGTTCACGATATCGATCGATGGTTTATAAGGACCAACATCAATTATATTAAAACCAATGATGAAAAAACTGCGCGTAAAAAATTAAGCGAACGCGCAAAGACAATCAGCAAGCAACTGAGAAAGAGAGGAAGCATCACAAACGGAAAGCATCGAGTTGCCAGGAAAGCACAAAGCATGAGATACAATCCATATTAATTTCTCCGTGGTCATGTTATATCATTCATTTTTCACGTAACCAGAAAATAAGAAAATAATGTTATAGTATGTTATGGGAAATAATGTGTGCAGGATCACACAAGATATAATAAATATTAATAGATAGAATTCTTGGTTTCAATCAAACAGCGCATCATATGAATTTTTCTTTTTTCCCTTTTTCTTTATGCCTAATAAATAAGATGAAGACAATAATTTTCCTACTCAATCCAAATTTTCGTTCACATATTTCAACTAATTGTCTATTCTTCTCTTATCCTTCCTAACTTCTGCTTGTAAGAGTAGTTTTTAATTAATAATTTACGAATGGACGAATGAATGGCGAAACAAAAAATATATGAAATAAAATTTTTTTTTAAAAAAAATATTTATTGTGTGTATGTGTGTCCGAGTCAATATATCTACAATTTTATTTAAAGCAATATTCTTAAATAAAATTTTAATTAAATTTTCATGTAAATAAAGAGTAATATTTAATTTACTACGTGCCGCACGCATTCTACCAGACATTCTAAAAAGGTGATTTCATCATACAGGCCAACTGCTATATTTTTGGATATGATTGTATTGTAATTACCGCGCGTGCACTCGATTTACTGGAATTATTAAAGCAATGCTTATGCCTTATTATGCTCCCTAAATAAAATTACTGATTAAAAATATCCTACCTTAGATTGCGCATGTGTAACTTTTGGTACGGGCATTTTTTAGAATGAGGTGAAATATTAATAAATCAATAAAGTCGATGTCCGTTTTCTGACAATGCAAAATCCCTGATTAGAATACAGTAATGTCGAACGTTTGGGAGCACTAGCTTATTCAGGAAAAATTAACATTGAGATCTAACGTACGACTTTTGCAAAGACGCAATCAGCTTATCATCTTCAGGATTTGGTTGCACCTGGCACATCCACACTCTAAAGGGAAGGTGCTTTATTACTTTTCTTGAGAGATTGGCGTACGATGTACATATTGTATGAATATAAGAACAACAGATTTTCAAGAATGCAATACCTTTTCTATGACCTACATTTGATTGGTAAACACATGCAATCACGAAAGAATGCTACGCAGATTTTTTTCGCTACGTGTATGCGCGGGGTCCTAGTTACAACCACATAGGCAAGCCAAAATACCTTTAAAGAATAATAAACCGGAAATCAAACCGATCTCTTAAAGATCTTCAACTAATACCGTTTATGTTCATATGGAAATATTATCATCAATACAGAGTATGTTCCCCATAATACAGTACTGTATCAGATAAGAGTATCATAACCTCTTTTTTTCACACGTATACTTAAAACCCATCAATTTCCTACGCTCACGATACATCAAACAATGGTTTCAACACTACATGCGGATTTAATAAACGACATAGGGTCACTTCTTCAAAGTGGACAGAATTACGATGTGGTAATTTATGCAGGCGAAGAACCAAATACTAAGGAATATCTTGCCCACTCTCTCATATTATGTGCCAGGTCATCCTATTTTCAGGCTGCATTATTAAACAATTGGGAAAGAAAGAATGGAGGTGTGACCGTTTTTAAGAAACCCAACATTTCTGCCAACATCTTCGGCATTCTACTTCGGTGAGTGATGAAACTCTGCTTTTTTTTTTCTCACTCGATTATAATGATTAAATTAATTCTAAAAATCGTTATCTTTCTCCCATGATGGATAGATATTTGTATACTGCTACCATTGATTTGGATCATCTTTCAGCCATTGAGGTTCTAAAACTTTGGGCGGCAGCCGATGACTTGGATTTGCAAAAGTTTTCGGACTTCATCCGATCTCATCTGGATGACAAGAAAATAGATTACCTTAGGCAAGACCCCGTACAATTCATTCGCACGGTCTTTCGTTACGAGGCCTGTAAATCCCTACGCGACTTCTGCATGGATACAATTTGTGCCGAGCCCAAGATCCTCCTTAACTGCGCTAATTCGACCGATATCGAAGAATCATTGCTTCTTCAATTGTTAAAGAGAGACGACCTTTCAATTGAGGAAATTGCAATTTGGCAATACTTGGTCAAATGGGGAATTTCTCATTCTAACACAAAGACAATACTTGAGATTGACAATGTTCACGAATGGGGTGTAGAAGATTTTACCATACTAAGAAAAACCCTGCATCCATTCATCCCCTTGGTGAGATGGTTCCAAATCCCGGCTTCCGATTTTTGGCGAAAGGTTAGGCCCTTTGAAAAAATTTTACCGAAAGAGCTTTACATCAGTATCATTGGCCACCACCTTGACCCCTCCTCTCAACCCCATCACAACTCGGATGTCCTTCCGCCGAGATTCCACGCTGTCGATTCCGTTATAATTGACCAAAAGCATTTCGATATAATCACGGGCTGGATTGATGATAAGACTATAGGATCCGAATGCAAGAATAAATCCTCTCCTTATTATTTCCGTTGTTTATTTCGTGCAAGTCGGGATGGATTTGGGGCTCCAAACTTTCACAAACTGTGCAACGAGCAGGGTCCCACGATAATGATCAGCAAGGTCCGCGAGACTGGACAAATTATCGGCGGACACAATCCCTTAAACTGGCAAGAAGGTTCCTATCAATATGATACTTGGTTGGAGACAAAGAAAAGTTTCTTGTTTAGTTTCAAAAACAAACAAAACGTAGAGTCGGCAGTTATAGCGAGGGTGACGAATCCACAGTACGCGATAGGATTCAGTCCTCAACGTGGTCCAAGTTTCGGTGACGGATGGGACTTGACAATTGAAAGTGACGGTTCCCTTTATAGTCATAGTAATAATTCATACAGCGACATAACAAAGTTTATAAATAACGCTACCCGAATGAGTTTAGAAGATTATGAGGTGTTTCAAATTGTCTTAAAAAATCCAAAAGAAAAATGAATTTATCCAATCATGAAACAGCATTCTCACGAGGCACACGTCATTTATCCGTCACCTGACATCGTAGTTACAAATAAATAAATTCATTGTTGAAAATGTTCTATTATAGAAACTTTGTATGCATATAATAAAATAATTCCGGTTCGTAACAAACAGAAGATCTTTCCTACTTGGTTATAACGAGGGGACACTCCTTAATCATTTTCATTTTACAGTATTTTCATTAAGGACATGTGATTTAAAAATGATGTTAAATGAAATTATCACAGTATAAATATAACGACTCGCAAAAATTCTTGTAACTTCAAAAAATTTCTCATTCTCAACTATCATAAAGGAAATACTGCACGCTAAGACTCTATGTCAAAACAAATAGTCAAATGTCATCACCACATTATTTTTTCTTTCGCTAAGGTAATTAATTGTCCATCTTTAATTCGTTCCGTCGTAGCTGTTGCTAATCATATTTTTTCCTTCCATGTTAGTTATATATAAAAAATTTCCACTCGTTGTTGGCACTGCGGATATGTCAATATATTATTCTAGTGAGAGCCTTTAGCATCATAGTTGACGAATACGCGAGGAGATTTGAGGAGGCATATTATATTTCCGATAAAGTGGTTATTGTGTTGAAAAATTTAGTGAAATCTGTTTTTGTAATTGGAGGGATCCCAACGATGATGTTCATCGTTCTCATACCAAAACTTAATTGAAAGTTAATTTGTCTGAAATTTACAAACAAAATAATATCATTGTTACTTCTTCACTTTTTCTTTCTTTCTTTCTTTCTTTTCTCAACTTTAACAATTATTGTATTTATTCATTTCGACTCCCACGTTTGTTATCATTTATTGTATATTATTTATCACAACTTTAACAATTATTGTTATTTATTTATTTCGACTCTCACGGTTGTAATTTATTTATTTTGACTCACACGGTTGTCATTTATTTATTTTGACTCACGCGATTGTCATTTATTTATTTTGACTCACGCGATTGTCATTTATTTATCTCAACTGCCACGATTGTTATTTATTTATCACGACTCTCACGGTTGTTATTGTTTATTTATTTAACATCTTACACGAAGCATCTAACAAAAGATAGATCTTTAGATACTGTGTCGTATTCTCAAATTTCATTGATCTTTATCCATTTTCCTATTTTTATTTTTATTTTATTTTTATTTATTTATTTTATTTTATTTATTTATTTATTTTATTTATTTATTTTATTCATGGGGTAAATACTTGGTTTTTCAAATTGTCGAAATAAATAATATACCGTGAATTGAAACTGGCGGAATAAAGAAGAGGCATTCTGTTACGAGAAAGAGTCTTTGATTGTTTTTTGTATTTTTTTTTTAATAAATTATAAATAAAATAAGATTTAAATACCGGATATGTGTATGTTTAATGATATAAATGATCGGATTATACTAATACTAATATTGTACTTAATTTTTGCTCAAGATTTTTATTATTCCTTGTTCAATCCTTATTTAATATTTACTTTTGAAGTAATATTTATTTTAGAATAATCTTTATACTATCATTAAAATGTTTTGATCTTTATCAAACAAATTATTATTGCTTCATTTTTTTTTTTGATTTTATTAATCTCAAAACTATATTAATTCTATATATTTTTAAAAACTTTAGCATATCATATTAATCATTTAAACTTAATATTTTCTTACTATTAATTCTTTGTCTTTATCTTTTTTCTGAGATAAAAGCGATATAATTTATTACTCAATTGATTATTTTCAAAATTAAATAATATCTATAAATTATAAAAAAAAAATAAATAGATTTTGAAACAAAAAAAAATAATTTGTATAATAGTTTTTTTTTATAAATATCAACTTAAATAACATTCTTTTTCACAAACTTGCAAGCTTTCCCTTTTATTATTTATTTATTTTTTTAAAACTATTGTTGTTTTCAATAAAATTTTTATTATTATTATAATTTTAAACTTTATAAAAATCATTTTCATTAAACAATTCAATTGATTTTAATCTTATATATATATTAAATTTCATTATTATTTTTCAATAATTTTTGGAATTTATTTTAAAAAAAATTCATCATATCAAAAATTCTATAAATTTTTAATTAAAAAACAAATAAATATATAATTATCAAATTTTTAAAAAAAATTTTTATATCATTTTTTATAAAAAATTTTGTTATGAAAAATTTAAGTTTCATAAAAGATTTTTTACTTGATATAAAAATATATTTATTTTTTTTTAATGTTAAGTGAGGCATTTCTCACGATCTTTATTAATATAGTAAAATAAATTGTTACATGATTAA